AAAAAAGTACTTTTCTCCCTTTCTCACAATACAAGAACTCATGGGCACTCAATGAAATTGCTGAGCATTCAGGTTAGAATGGATAAAAGGAAGTACTTCCTCACCCAAAGAGTGATTAAGACATGGAATTCACTGCCACAGGAGGTGGTGATGGCTACAAGCACAGATGGCTTCAAGAGGGAATTAGATAAGCATATGGAGCAGAAGTCCATCTGTGGCTATTAGCCACAAGGTATAGATAGGAACTCTTGGTCTGGGGCGTGTGATGCTCTGTATTCTTAGTATTTGGGGGGAGCAACAGTGTATTCTTAGTATTTGGGGGGAGCAACAGTGAGAGGGCTTCTAGCGTCCTGGCCCCACTGCTGGATCTCCTGATGGCACCTGGTATTTTTGGCCACTGTGTGACAGAGTGTTGGACTGGATGGGCCATTGGCCTGAGCCAACATTGGCTTATGTTCTTATGTTACTTCCACCTGCAGTGTGCATCCCTGCATCTGCATGGGGACCCCAAAGTGCTTACTTATGAGTGCACTAGAGTTTAGGATCCAGCTGTTTCACATGGAAATAAAACAATAAAAGATTAATAATAAAAAATCCTCTTCTTCGCAGTTCTCAGTATTCCTGGGAATCATCTTCTTCCTGGAGCTCACGGCTGGTGTTCTGGCCTTTGTCTTCAAAGACTGGATCAAAGACCAGCTATATTTCTTCATCAACAACAACATCCGAGCCTACAGAGATGACATTGACTTGCAAAACCTCATAGACTTTACGCAAGAATATGTAAGTGGCACTCCTGCTTGCTTTCCAAGAAAGTAAAGTAGATGTTTCAAAATGTAGGACTTTCCCCCCACCCCCTTCTGGCTTCTCATCTGCCCGTTCTTGGGAAGAGCATCAAAAATCACCTACAGCATGATCCCCCAAGCTTGTTAGTAAATCTCACTTCAGGAGGACTTACTTTCTGCTCAAGTTGGTAACCATTTAAGCCCAAAGAAAAGCAAGGTGTAACTTCAGTTCAAAGATCCCATTGAAAGAGAGCCTTGCCCCTAGAGCTCAATATAGTCTGGTTTTGCATTAGCATATCTTCTGAATTATACTCCACGTGACTTGAGAGATGCCTTTTTAACAGGTACCATAGGGAACAGGTTGTGACGCAGTGGTAGAGCATCTGCTTTGCATGCGGAAGGTCCCAGGTTCAGCCCCAGGCATCTCCAGTTAAAAGAACCAGGCAATATGTGATATGGACGACCTCCACTTGAGAGCCACTGCCAGTCTGAGTAGACAATACTGACTTAGATGGAGCGATGGTCTGATTCGGTATAAGGCCGCTTAATGTGTGAATGTAGGTGGTTGCTGAGTCAGTTTGTAGACCAACACTGGAATCTGAAAGTTACTCCAGTCCGAGCCCACTGATTTCAGAGGCTTTAGACTGGAGTAACTCTGCATAGGATTGTACAAGTTGTAACTTGGGCCCAGAACATCTGAAACAGCTGTTATATTTCTCCTCAACTGACAGCTTTCCAAGAATTGTCCAGATCTTGGAAGCTCACTAGGGTCAGCCCTGGTTAGTATCTGAATGGGAGACCCCCAAGGAATAACATGGTTGGTACGCAGAAACAGGCAATGGCAAACCCCCTCTGTCCATCTCTTGCCTTGAAAATCCCGTGGGTCCACCATAAGTCAGCGGCGACTTGATGAACAAAAAAAGCTAATTTTATGAAGTACCTTGCAAAGCTGATTAGTGGATCTTCTCCCTGCCACCACAAATGTGCCCAAGAATGTTTGCCATAGTATGGGGACAGTAGCTCCGTTTTTGTGGAGTCCAACTGTACATTTGTGCATGTGTGTAATATATATTTTGAGGAGGAACGCACACCTGCTATTTTGTGTGTGTGTTCCCATGGTGTTAGCTGGAATGATAATGTACAAACCCAGTTGGCATTCTTGGCCCCTTTTCCAGCTCTAGTAGGAAACAGCAGAGAAATGTCTTTTTATTTTGAGTCTTGCTAATAGCTGCTTGGTGTCCTTGTTTTCTTTGCTCCAGTGGCAATGCTGTGGGGCTTTTCAGGCAGATGACTGGAACCTCAACATCTACTTCAACTGCACAGACACCAATGCCAGCCGAGAGCGCTGCGGGGTGCCCTTTTCTTGCTGCACTAAAGATCCTGCTGTAAGTCCAATGGGTGGCTCCTGGCAAGGTTGCGGCATGCGACATCTGAGTCCAGTAGAACCTTAGGGACCACTAAGATTTTCAGGGCATAAGCTTTTGAAAGTCAAATCTCCTTTTGTCAGAGACCTGTCTACCCCTTGATCTCATTCCTTTGGCGCCCCGTGGTCTTCTCTAGCTCCTTGGCCTCTCCCATCAGTTGTCTGACTTGGTACCACCCAGGCTAGTTGGAAGCATTCCAAACAAATCGCCAGTGTAATCCTGGGCATGTATAATCAGAAGTAAATCCCACTGGGTTCAATGGGATTTACTCCCAAGTAAGTGTGTCTAGGACTGCAACCTGCTACTGCATAATAGACGGCAGTTGTTTAATACACGGAAGGGGGTGATGCCAATGTTAATAAGGGGCTTGGGTCCATGAAGTAGCTAATATGTCATGATGTGGACTGGCAGCTACTCAATAGGAAGTGTGCTTGTACTGACATGAGGGCTCTAATCTGCAAATGGGAGAGACGGTCTGTAGTTGCCTTAGTTCTGAACGTGAACTTGAAGGCCCTGTTCTCACTGCGGTAGCAGTGCTGAGTCTAGGCTGAGTTACTTTGGAAGAGTGAAGAGACCATCATGATGGAATGGAATGCTCGCCAGTCTTCAGAAGTTCTCTGCATGTCGCATTCTGGCAAGTTAGGGAGACGTCTGCTTTCTTTATATGGGGGAACATTTAATTGCGTGAATCTCCCATCTTACAGAGAGAAATGCTGCATCCTGGGTACAGCTTATTGCTTCAGTAAGGACAGGCCCTTGTGTTGAATTATTTCGGGGGATGGGGGACCCTTTTTGAGTATAAAACATTTTAAGAGGGGTGAAAAAGAACGGAGAGCAGTTTTCTCTAGCCCATGGAGATTTGGCAGGTGGAACGAACATGAATCCTAAAGCGATATATTGATGGGCATGCTTTTTGTTTCCTTGTTCTTTTAGGAAGATGTCATTAATACTCAGTGTGGCTATGATGCCAGGCAAAAACCGGTGGGTGTTTCAGCTTTTTCCTCTGTGTATAATGTCTGGGGGTGGAGGTGTGGAAGCCAAGAGGAGTGTTATGTGATTTTCTAAAAAAACATTTCCTCCATCTTTTGGCAGGAAGTTGACCAACAGATTGTCATCTACACAAAAGGTTGTGTCCCCCAGTTTGAGAAATGGCTGCAGGAGAACCTAACTATAGTAGCTGGGATCTTTATTGGAATTGCGTTACTGCAGGTAAGCCTGCCTGTTCTTTTGGGAGCTCACAAGGCAACAGTTTAAACCCAGGACAGGATCTCAAAGCAAAGGCGGATAGAGAATTCTTGTACATCAACAGTTGGTTTTTCCCCTTGGCCACCAGTGGGAGATGGGCGGTGGTGGTGGGGGAAGTGTTGCCAGATCCAGGTCAGGAAACTCCTGAAGATTTGGGATAGAGGTTGGGGAGGACAGGGACCTCAGTGGGGTACAATGCCCACTGTCCAAAGCATCCATTTTCTCCAGGGGAGTTGATGTCTGTAGTCTGGAGAGGAGCTGTAGTTCTGGGGGCCCCACCTGGAGGTTGGCATCCCTGTCCTTGTCCCCAAAGCATCTTGCCACATTTTTGTCCCAGACTACTCAATCAAACACTTACATGTAACCTGATCTAGGAAAATTGTCTAGTTGTGGTGCAGAAGACATCTGCTGATACTTTTTTCTTGCTTTCCTCTAAGACTGTGGGGTTGCCTTTCTGAAGAAAACCTGCTTGTTGGGTCTTCAACATCTCCCCCCAACACATTTTGAGTTTGCAGGTTTCTGTAGTAATGGGCCTGTTGTATTAAACTCTGCTTTTCTTTCTAGATACTTAATCCCAGATTGCCTCAGGAGGGTTTCTGTGGGGGCGCCAGATGTTTGCTGGACCCCTCTTCCTCTCCCCCCTCCGGCAGTAATGATGCTCCAGAGGACTTTGCCAACTTTTACCTGCGATCCATGACCAATTACCTCTAGGAGTGGTTCCATCTAATTTAACTGGACTACTGTAGATTAAATGGAGTCTGGATTGCTGCCGTTGGGTTGGAAAAAACGCATGCTTTGGTTGGACTAGATGGTTACTGTTGAGGTCTGGATTCGGTTTAACATGGCATCTGATTTGTTCCAGATATTTGGGATATGCCTGGCTCAGAACCTGGTTAGTGATATCGAAGCTGTCCGAGCCAGCTGGTGATCTCGCTGAGGCGAGCGGCACAAGACACTGGGCCATCCCAGCCATCCAGACCGCTAACTGGTGTGCCCTTTGGGCACCGAGCAGCATAGAAACGAGTGATGGGGAAGCCTGAGTCATCCCAGGTTGTTGTAACTGCAGTGGGCCCTTGTTTTTTCCAAGGGGAACAGCTACAGCCACCACCGACTCACTGACAAAACTTTCTCAAAATCTCCAGTCTGAAACTCGTTGAGCCGTGAATCTCTACTGTATCCCTGACTTGAGTCCCAGTGGAAGCTCCTCCCTCCTGTCTGTGGTAAAAGGTCTCTGTTGCTGGGACCTCCGCCACTGCGGCAGAGTTTAGTGAGTTTTGCCGTCTGTCCTCCACGGCACAAGCTTGTCTGTGGCTGCCGACAGCGAGGCAATTTTCCTCTTCAGTGCGCTCCAAAGGAATGGTGTGTTTTCAGCAGACAAAGAGGCTCCAAAGTCCTTCTGGAAAGAAACCCATCAAACAGAAAACCACTTTCTGCTTCTTTGGCTGGGCGCTTAAAAGCAAGAAACAATCCCTCTTCCTCCGAAGCGTCAAGATCTGCTCCGCCATGCCCTCTGCTGGGGACCAAGAGCTTTATTTCTTATCCTCTTGCAGCCTTTTGCTAGGGAGACAAATGAATGTGAGGTTTAAAGGCAACAGACTCTGAGGAGCGAGGCGGCTAGGATCACTCGTTATAATTTTTAACAGGTGGCGGTGTATAAAGAGTGTAAATGGGGACATTTTGGACCAACTTTGTAATAAAGAGAATGAGAAATATGGTGAACTTAAAAGGAAAACACATCACAGTATACCAAATTTTATGGGGTAGAAGTATGGATTCTGTGGAAGTACATTTATTTGGTATAACCTTTGGTCATTGTTGTGGTAGACTTTGACACAGTTGGACAGATGTATAATGTGGCCCCCAAATTCTCCTTAGGTGGAACTTCTGTCTCCCATTCTTTTCTTGCATGTGGTTGCCTATAATCTTTGAAATCTGTTCAGTGAGGCTTCGTTTTTGTATCTGTGTTTCTGAGTAGGCTTCCAATTAAGACTCGCTTATTTATTTGAGTAAAAGTGGATGAAATGATGAACCATTCACATCCCCTCATTTTGTAAAGATTGGGGAAATCTGTTTTTTCCTGTGGCTCTTGTTCCAGTCTGTTGGCCCCATAGACACATTTGCATCTATTAAAACATTCTTTCTCTCTTACTGATCAAAACCAGTAACGCTTCACCTATGTATTTTTTTAACGCCTCTAAAAGGTATGCAGTAGTAATTAGATATTTACCGACCCACCTTGGGGAAGAAACAAAATACTGCAGAAAGAAAGAAGTTCAAACTCCCTCTACGACCACTATTATGCATATGATTTTGGTTTGTTTAGAAACAGGTTTCACTGAGGTAATGAAACGACATTGTAGGTGAATGTGCTTTAGGGTCAGGGTATAGCTGTTTGTCTGAAACTTGTTTTTAAGTAGCAGTGGAAAACACTAAATTGATGGTGCCTTCTGTATGAGTGCTGAATTTAGTTCTCATTGAGTTCTTCTTCATCAAGTCGGGCCTGAACCTGTAGAGAAATGCAGTCAATTTATTTTGAGTACCTGCCTGGGGATTATTATAGGTGTCTTAATGAGCATGGAGAAGACCCTAGAATAAACAAATCCCCAGATATTAGTTATGGGCATAGCTGTTTAAAACCCTAACCTGAGAAGGTAAATTGAAGTATATTCAAGATGAACAGTCTCTTTCTGAAAAACAACAAAAAGTCCTTTTATTTTAGTGGAGGGTTGCTGGTTTGAGGCTGCCGCCATTTTGTCCCAGAATTCCAACTTCACCTTTACCTTGGTGTTACCTCATTTATTACAGACCCCAATACTGTCTGTTTGGCTGAATACTGTATACTGTCCCTTGCTCTCTAATATGAATTTCTGGAAGTCAGCTGCAGGTACGGCAATTCTAAAGGATTTCTGCTTGACTCTTTAGGTCATTGAGCCTTGCTTCCATTAGCTTGGCTAGAGCAGTTGCTAAAAATGATCAGAACATAACTTTTTGCCTCTGGATGGCAAAATGAAGCATAGGATGTGGGGAAAATGGTAACATTCTGAGACAGCTTCTGGGTTTTACATGCTTGGGAGTTAACAGATTCTAGAAATGAGACCAAATGTCCACAATGCCAGTGTTGTCAAGTGCATCCAGCGACTATACTGAAGAAACATTCCTTCTTGCTGCTGCTTCAGGTTTCCGAGGGGGAAATGTCCATTCTCGTACACACCTGCAGCTTTGTTGTGACCTGTGCTTTTCTTCTTGTTGCTCCTTGTCCGGTTGTCAAGTGTGAGTTCATGGGTGTGACTGAAATGGCAGGGGGGAGAGTTTCCATGTGGCAACTTGAGTTTTGTCTCGTAACAGAGCTTTCTTGTCGCTGGGCCACCACCGTGTGGTGAAACTTATCGTTGTTATCCTTCGGGCCAACACTGGATGCTGCAGTGTCTGGGTTTACTTCTGCGGCATAAAAAGAAGTTGTCTTGTTGGACCAGGATAAGAGGATACAGCAGACAATTAAGGCTCCTCCCCCCAGAACCTCAGTATTGTCCTGTGCCTGCACAGTGTGTGTGTCTGTTTTCCTTAGCTTGAGAAAGAGATTAAGAACTAACTTTTTTTAAAAAAAAAAAAATCTTATAGTTATCCAATTAACACACATTTCATTGTTTGTTGTTGTTTTTTGAAATAAACAACAGGTAACAGCCTCTGTATAGTGTTCAGTTCTCAAGTACTAAGAATCTGGCATTTACCTCTAAATGTAGAGAATTTTTCAAGCCCAGTTACTTTCTCTATGGCTTCTACAAATCCAAACAAACATTGTTCAGGTATATACTGTCCATAGAGGGTTGGATCCTGTGAACTGCTGAAGGAGTTCACAGAGATTGTATCTCCTACATTCCTTCTCTCTTTCCTCTTCTGCCCCCCCCACCCCACCCATGGTGTTGTGCGAAAAGCTTGGGGTGTGTGCGTGTTGAAGGATGGGACGTGGCTGTCTGCAGTTTTAAGAGGCTAAGCAGAAACCATTCCTCCAAGACATACTCCCTTGCGCAAACTTTTCTTCTTTTTATAAAGGAGCTCATCCTAATAAGTGTGTGTGAGAGATTTCTGCTGACTTTCCCCTCAAATATCTTCCCCTCACAATTCATCCCATTTTCTTCCTGAGGGTCCCCTCACCTTCAGGACCAGTTCTTCCACGGACTGCAGGGGGCAACAGGTTCTTTCTATGAACCCCTTTCTCTTTGCAAATTTAGAAAGACACAATACTCTGACCATGAGGGTTCACAATCGAAATTTCTCAGATCCCTTGATAATTTTCTTTGACTCTGTGACACTTATAGTGTGATGGTTTCTGACACTGGTTATGGTGGGCGATTCCTGCATTTTTAAAGTTGACTTTTAACAAAACTACCTGGAAACTCATTTCTGCATATGTCTTCTCACATTCACTTTTAGACGATGCAGGAACACATTTAAAGGAAGCCAGGGAAGGTCAAGGCATATAAGCTTGTATGTGAGAAGAAATGTGTAACTCTAATTCCAAACTGCATGTCTGGTTTGTTTGGTGGTTGTTTTTTGTGCATCTGCCTTGACTTCTCAAATTGGACCTGACTTGTCTTTCTGGGAAAAGGATACTTTCAGCCAGGACTGAATGCAGGGGTATCTGAACGGGGAGGGCTGGGGGCGAGGGGGCCCATGGACTCCCTTGCCACGCACGAGATGCATTATTGTCCCTTTCCAAATGATTCCAAATGAAGAATTCTGAAGTCTTGTGGGAAGCGCCACAGAAGATGGGAAGAGATCTTTAGAAGTGAGCGTGGCCAGAACCATTTATGTTTGAGCCAAACTGCACATGACACTGGGGATCTGTTTGAATCCCCACATATAATTCAAATAAAGTTCTGATCAAAACTTTTAACCCAGGTAGGGATAGTGTTGTTGTCATGTCTTTTCCCTGTTGTGGCGAACAGCCAGTGCAGCTTCTCTTCTGACACCGTTTCCTAACATCAAGTGTCTCCCAGCCGTTTAATGTTCAAATGCACAGATGTGAAGGTGCATGGGTTATGCAGACTGCCCACATCAGGTCTCTGTGCATCTGATTCATGGCCGAGTGTTCGCATGTTGAAATTGGTCCCAGCCATTCCTACCCACCAGTTTCCCTGTTCTGTGTTTGTTCTTTGCCTGTTCAGGAACAATACAATTTCCGAAGAGCTGACGTTTTCTAGGGAAAGGGACAACAAACTTGGTGCTTGAGGGCCAGGAAGCGATTTCAGCTTAAGAAGCCATAAACAAATTCAAGTTTTGGAATGGATTGCCTGCTACCTTACTTGGAACTGTTGGAGATGCACCTTAGAATTTGCTTGGCATGCATGGGTTTTTTTTCATGGCTGTGGAGTGATAAAGGATTTTCCCCAGGCTCCCAAAGTTCCCCCCATGGTTAGAGCAATGCATTTGCTTCCTTGACCAGTTAGTTAATTTGAGCAGATGAATTAAGAGTGCAGTCTTATGCGGCATTATTCCAGTCTGTCTAGATAAGCATATGGAGCAGAGGTCCATCAGTGGCTATTAGCCACAAGGTATAGATAGGAGCTTTGGGGCAAGTGATGCTCTGTCTTCTTGGTGCTTTGGGGGGGGGGTCAACAGTGGGAGGGCTTCTAGTGTCCTGGCCCTACTGGTGGACCTCCTGATGGCACCAGGTATTGCTGGCCACTGTGTGACACAGAGTGTTGGGCTGGATGGGCCTTTGGCCTGATCCAACATTGGCATCTCTTATGTTCTTATGTTCTGTGCCCACTAGAGTAATTTTGTATAGGACTGCACTAGAAGGGAGGTTTAGAGTTTTGCTGTTGTTTAAAAGTCCCCACACCGTCTAGAAATAATGAGTTCACTTTAATAGACCACTCTTGTTTGGAGCCTCCCTGCTCCTGTTCAAAAAGTGGAAACTTTTTGTTTGATTCTCTTCTGAGTCCTTTACAATAAGATGCTGTTATACCTGTGTTGTGAAATCCAAGACCTGGGGCCCTGTTAAGGCCAGGTTCCACCTGGAGTGTAAATAATCGTTGCAGTGTACGTAATAGCATGCCAGTGAACTGATCCTTGTACAGGATTGCGAATCATCCATAAATGTATTATTTATACCGAGAAGGGATGTACAATGTGAGTTTGCCTGTTCATTTTAAAACTTTAAAATCAGAGCTTTATGTATCTATGGGTTCGAGCCTGGAATGCTTTAGTAGCGTGCCATCTAGTGTCTGCAAAGCAGAAGTGCAGCTTAACAAAACCGCTTGAGAAAACCATTGCAGATTTAATTTGTTCCTTCAAGAACGGCTTCTAAAATTGACTAAACCCTTTCTTTTGCCTGCTTTGTGGCAGCCTCCTCTGCTCATTCTATCTCAGTATTGTCCTGCTAATGAGACTGGCTCTTTGCTGGCCCCACATACCAAAGCCCAGAGGCTGTTTGCAGGTGAGCACAATGGTCTGCTCCCCTTAGGCTTGCTGGGCCCTCCCTGGCCACTGGCAGGGTATGGGTGGGTAGGATTGGCAGATCCGGGTTGGGAAACTCCTAGAGCTTAAGAGATGGAGCCTGGGGAGGCCAGGGGACCCCGGTGGGATACAATGCCACAGAGTCCACCATCCAAACCACTCATTTTCTCCAGGACTATCTCTGTAGTTTGGAGATGATCTATAATTCCAGGGAATCCACAGGTCCCCCCTGGAGGCTGGCATCCCTGCCTCTCCTGCCTGCTAATGGGCTGGGACTGAGAAGGCCTGGAGTCACCACGTTCTCCCTGTTCTTCCCAAGAATCTCCAGAGATGGCTTCTGCAAGGGGATCTTGCTTCAGGGCCATGCCCTTGTGTTATACAGAAGGGGTACCCTGAAAAACTGTAAAATGGAGCTTTTGGGGGGGTGCTTTTAAAACGCACCCTGCATATTTCGTAGGAGCACCATAAACAAAAGATTAAGCTAGTTCACGAGCATGGCTGGTAATTCCAGCGGAGGCCTGGCAGACCTTGTGTGGTTCAGCGATGTGGCCCCTTCCGCTGTGCAGAACAGTAGGGGGTGATAGGCGCAGGGTCCTATTGGGGCACACGTGGTTTGTGGACTGATAGTCCTTACTGGAAGCTCCCACAGCCCTACCTAATGATGGCGTCACATTCTCTCTGCATACACAATCTGTGTTGAGCACATGCTGTCCAGTTTCTTCAGCTGT